ATATTTTTCAAGCTCGCCCGGTGTGGATATGCACTCAGAGTAACATCGCAAACATATTATTCACCTGAGTACACAACACCAACACAGAAAAAAAAAGAATCTTGGAGTATTTGCCTGACACGTGACCAGCGTTGACCAGGGCCTCGTCCGCTTTGGCGGCCATATTAAAAATCGGGCGGGCAGGCCCTGGGTACGAGGTTGCACATGTACCTATATAGCACATGCACGAAGAGTATGGATATAGAATATGATATGGATATACTGATATAGTGTTGATGTATATATAGTATGGTTATAGTTTGGAAATATTACATGGATAGTGCCGTTACGACAATTCTTTGTTTCCTTGAACCCGAATCTTGTCCGATCGTTAGCATCTTGTTTTAGCCTTGCTCTCAGGGTTGCTATTAATGAGTTGAACAGTCTTACGGTGTGGAAATCATGACGTTTGCAAACAGAAGCAAGGTTAATTTGCCTGGACCTGTGCTGCAAAGTACTGTATGACAGTTATGAATGCATTTAGCTCTCTTCCGCATGAATGGGCTTTAGATCTGCTCGCAAATATATATTGAGGTAGTGGATAGTGAAAGATGGAAGATCTGATGCAGGTACCGAATAATGCGCCGCAAGGTAAGCCTGTATATCAGGCTCTGTGCTACAAAAGGAGCCCGCTACTGAAGTCAATGCAAAGTAGACTTATATGTTTACGAATCGTGATTATGGAAAAGACTTTAACTAGAAGCTTATATGACGTACGTTTAATTTTCAACGATAAACATTAATTAAGCTACAATCGAGTGCAAAAATAATGAGACTCTGCACATTTTGGTGATATTTTTCATGTGCCCTCTCCATGATTAACAATGTTGAAGACATATGACTACTAGATAACCCATTGCCTTAAAATTGTTTTAACAACATTGCACGGGCTAGGGGGAGGGGCAAAGAAGGAGGCGATAAGCTGCTTGTCTCATTCATTTTTGCACTCGATTAAAAGTCCCTGATAACGTAATCAATCAATTGAAATAAACATGAACAAATTTTTATCTGATCTACTACTCAGTACTGAAATTTATGAAGGGATTTGTAGATGGAAGTTTCGAGCGGAATTGTTAGGAGCAGTTGCAAAAAATGCAACTATCGGCCCTTTGGCAGGAATCAACCTGCTCACAGCACTGATCTGAAATAAGACTTTTTTTTTTAATTTTTTTTTTTATTTATTTAGCTTTGCCAACTAGGGCAGGGTCACCACAACAGCATATGCCAATTACTGTGGGCCCTTTTTACCTAACCCACCCTTGTCAACTTTCCCTGTGGGAGGAAACCGGAGTACCCGGGGAAAACCCACGGCTTTGGGCAGAGCGTTGACTTTTACTCTTTTCACATGGGGACTGGGTTCGAGTCGCAATGAGAAGGTACTTAGTGAGACTCGAACCTGCAGCCTCAGAGGTGAAAGGCAAGTGCGCTAACCACTTGGCCACCGAAGCCCCATAAGCATCTATCGTATACAAAAGTGAAGCCGGAAGTAACCGGCCGCCACCCGATTCTGGGGCCCCACTTTTGCATAGATTTGTACTACAGGCGGTAGTTTTTCGCGTTTTTTGCCTTGGCTACGTTTCCGACCGGGCCAATTTTACAATCACAAAGATAGAAGCATACAAGAAGAATTTTGAGCAAAAAATTTGGAAAGTTATGGCTTTATAACGCCGCGAAACGGGATTTACAACTCGGAAGGAGTGGAGAGTCTCGGACTTTGTTTACGAGCTCGTTTTGCTACTTTCATACTATACAAAATCAACTCAAAATATACAAAAAATACTGTTACAGGACGAATATTCTCAGGACCGGAAAATTTAAGAAATGAAGCAGCTACATTTTGAACAAAAGCGTACTGAGGTTAGTTTTAAAATACCTTGAGGCTACTTTTATAATTATACGAATTAAGGAACAGTTTTAAATGTCAATTTTGTCAAGAGCATTCCCCGGCGACTTGGCAAAAAGTTTTATATGTTTTAAAGTAGAAAGACAACTGACAATGAAATATTTTTAATCCAAATTATAAACAACGACTCAATATATTTATTTAATTCATATAATTATAAAAGTAGCCTCAAGGTATTTTAAAACTAACCTCTGTAGTCTGTACGCTTTCGTTCACAATGTAGCTGCTTCATTTCTTCAAATTTCCTGAGAATATTCGTCCAGTAACAGTAATTCTTGTATATTTTGGGTTGATTTTGTATGAAGGTAGCGAAACGAGCTCGTGTTGATAAACAAAGTCTGAGGCTCGATCCCCACTCCTTCGGAGTTGTAAATCCCGTTTCGCGGCGTTATAAAGCAATAATGCTCCAAATTTTTTTCTCAAAATTCTTCTTGTATGCTTCTATCTTTGTGATTGTAACATTGGCCCGGTCTGAAACGTAGCCAAGGCAAAAAACGCGAAAAACTACCGTCTGTAATACAAATCTATACAAAAGTGGGGCCCCAGAATCGGGTGTCGGCCGGTTACTTCCGGCTTCACTTTTGTATACTATAGATGCGTTATCCAGTCTTATGTCAGATCAGTGGCTCACGCCTGAAATTTACAGGAGGAGAAAAATTTCAGGCTACTTGCATGTTAGACTAATTTTAGGCAAAAAAAGTAAATTCCCGTAAAGAACTTATCAAAATCAGTAAAATTGCAAAATTTGGTTACGAAATGTTGTAAAATACAAAAAATATAGCCTTGCGAAGTTTGCATATTTTCAGTATATTTGTATTGCGTGCGGAAATTGTTACCATTTTTGAGCCGAAAATGGTAACGATTTCCGCACGTAATACAAATAGCTGAAAACATGTAAATTTCGCAAGGCTATATTTTCTGTATTTTACAACATTTCGCGACCAAATTTTGCAATTTTACTAATTTCATTACGTTCTTTTTAACTGTTCTGTTTGATTCCTCTCTTTTCTTAGATTAAAATTTAGTCTAACATGCAAGTTGTCCATTCTGGTGCAGCGCTCTAACTAACTGAGCTACAGATTTCACAATTACCAGTTTATTTTAATTACAAATTACACAATTTCCAGTTTATCAATCAATACTAAGGTGATCGAGACTTTGGGCATCCCACTAGATATAAGGGATTTCCCTTCAACAATTATAGTTACAGCGAATTAATTCAAAAAAGGTCCTTTGCAAACCTTAAACTCTAAACCTTAAACATTAAACAATAAGCGTGCAAAGCATAATGGGAGCACCATTTAATCAGTTTAGAAATCATATATGGGACCCATTTTGTAAAGACATGGTAAATTAATATCTCCTTACTACGACAATTCATTCGCAAATAGCTGCAATATTCAATTACTAAGCTTGAAACTTGTGCTCCCATTAAACTTTGCGCGCTTAGAGTTCAAGGTTTGCAAAGGACAATATTTTTCGAATTGGCTGCATATCAAGTGACACGTCGAAAATCCTGATATCTAGCTACTAAAAGTTATCAACACTAGAAATGAAAGCTGTACGAAACAAGTAGGGGCGGATTCAGCGTCTCAACCTGACCGTACCATTTTTGCCGAAGTCCACCTGCGTGGCCGCAAACCACGCCCTTGCTAGGGAGTCGGGGGGGGAGGCATTTTTTGAATTTGAAGCCCGCAAATACCATTCATTCTGAGCTCGAGATTAGATTTAAAATTTGTGGAAAAAGTGCTCTTTTTCGAGTGTATCTTCTCCTGGTGGGCGGAGAAAAGAAACGTTTTGCATAGGGACATAACTCATGCGTTCCTTTAGAATATAATTGGTTATGGAGGGGGCCTCTCAATATTTATTCCTAAATAAGCGAAATATGCAAATTTTCTGACCATGACGTATAGGCACTTTACGAGAGATATTTTTTTAAAAATTGTTTAAAATTCAATGGAAATTCATTGTTTTAAAGTTTGTTCGTTCATTGCAACCAGGTATATCAATCATGTTTCGCTCCAGCTTGCTACTCTGGTTTAAATAAATTATTACAAAGCACAGTCGAATTGTTATAGTTGCCGTGAAAATATTCTAGCAATTGTTCTTGTTTTTGATACACGAACAATATTATCTGTGAGAAAATTATTTGAAGGAACGTCAATACGAATGCCGAAAAACTTTTACTAATTTGCCGGTAAATTTCGTGGGACGATGCTGAATGTAATTAATTTACAAAAAGCATCAAAATTTGGAAAATTTAAATGAAATTTTATTAATTTCGCGCAACTTTATATAATTTCGCGATTTTCACGATTGTCAAAAAAATCGCGAAATCAAAGTCGCGAATAAATAAGGTCGCGAAATTTACACACGCGAAATATACCCTAGTTAAAAATTTAGATCATAAAATTCTTGATGACAACATGTACAGCTTTGTATATCGACATAAATAAAAAATTATTTAATAAAAAACTTAGTATTAATTAAGCTACAGTTTGCATTTAATTACCGGCAATAAAGATGAGTAAAAGTATTGCGAATATACCTTACGTTAAAATGTTTTGAAAATCGTAGTTCATGCAGATTTTTATAGAAAATCAAATGTCGTTCAGAAAGCTTTCACGAAATTTAATTAATGCCAATTTTCTATTTTCGCCTATGTTCATATTTTTTGAGCCTCCGTGTAATGTTCTTTTTATTATATGGACTAAAATAAAAAGAAATTCAATAACTACACTCATGCAGACTTCATTTGGCAACCACCAGAAACTTCCTAAACTATATATATCTCTGTATCAAGTCCCAGTAATTTAGTATAACAAAATTGTTTTTTAATTTATAAACGTCTTACTGTCTTTGGCTCTCCTCGCTTGATGTTTCCAAAATTATTGTAGACTACGTCGAATAATCTCTCGACGCTAATGTATCGAGTCTAAATATTCGTGAAAAATTGACAAACCGTAACGTGTTTTCTCTTTGGTGTTTTCGTTCTCATTTTCTTCGCAAAAATTAAGTCATCGTCAGAAACATCAGAAAAAAATTCTGGCTGCCATTCGGTTGATAAAACAAAACAAAGCGGGAAAACTCGCGAGAGGAAGCACACGCGTTACATAATTTTTTCTTCATATTTCATCAGTGAAATATGGAAAATATGAGTGTTTTAGTTTCCGCTAAAACATGCATCCATGTCCATATAATAAAACGTGTTTAAAGACTGACATCTGTTTTTATAAATTGTATAATTTAGTATTTTTGTATCACTTATATATATATCAGAGGAGGAATGAGGGTCTTCCCACAATGCATTGCGTCTAATTATTATTCACAATTACGATTTTCAACGAACGTTTGGCGAAAAGTTGTTGAAATACATTGCGATTTTGGCAACGTTTATCTCGTTTTTTCGAAGGTATGTTTTTATATTTGTATTATTTAAGACCCTAATTAAACTATTTTTGACTTGTTTGGTACAGGAATTGCTTTTTAGTTATGTTAATTACGTATTGTAATTATGCTTGATTCAGGTCAGTGGACACGCCAATAAAATGACCTTGATATAATGCAGAAGCAAACTCACTTTTTTTTTAGGAAAATAAAAACAAAACACGTCATCGAATTCGGGAAGATTTTTTCTTTCTACTGTTACTTTAAAACATGAGTTTGCTCCACTAAACCGACAAGTAATCGCGGTTTGAAAATGGGGTACTTTCGCTATATTCTATCGCCGATGGCGGGAATAGACCGCCTGATAATCATCATGGCGCGAAGGAAATTATTGTACTAATCACTATTTTTCATGATAATTTTGAAACATACGCATTTTTGTTCGTACATATTTTAAGTTTAATGCAATTTTTAAGGTTAGATATGCTTATGTTTACCTGCCCTGACTGTATTTTTTCATTTTATTATATAATTCGGCTATTTTGGAGTAAAACTGGAAATGATACTGCTATATATTTTAAACGGGCATATACTTCTGAAGGTGATACCCCAGGGAAACCTATTAAATAATAAAAGACGCAGAATTTCTCGTTTGAAAAATTCAACATCAAAGTTTTTACAAACATAAAATACAGTATGACCAGTTTGACCACACTAAAACATTGTATATTTTTAATGGGACAATATAGTAACATTGTATTTTAATGCTTTTTTGCCTGGGAGAAATTCTGTCCATAGGCATACGAGGCTGGGGGTTGCAACCCCTCCAGTCAGTGTTTAGTTGGGCAGAATTCTGCTTTAAAAAAATATTAGGCAATTGTTTTAAGATTGACTTTAAACAGTATATAGACAGGAGATGTATTCCTTCTATTTTATACCTCTTGTTCATCTTTAAATAAAGTCATGACAATGTTAGGCAATTCCTATCCACCTGTACGCCAATATTATTTTTCAATGCTGGGAGTGGCATTCCAGAAAACCTATAGTACACAAATTTCCTGGAGAAGCATGCCCACAATCCTGGTAAAAATCCATGAGTTTCTTTGTTGCTGTCTAATTGTGCTGGCACTGAGATTGCCCCTCTCACTTTTGCTG